TGAATATGAATATGAATATGAACCTATAGAAGAGTTCTGTCTTCTGGGATATAATGCTGTGTAGTCTGTTGAAGATCAACAGATGTTTTGGAGGAACATGTCTCCATTTCCAGAGTTGAAGAATATACCAAATAAGAAACCAACAAGAAGCACATAGCAAGTTGCTTGTTGCCTCCTTCATTATTGTTGAAACTCATCTGACATTTCAGAAGAACATCTCACCTCCATCTTCAGGATCAGAGGAGAAGCCAAGAAATAAACCAACTACATGGCAAGAAACTGGCATGAAATAGACCTGCTTCATGACAGCTTTTTGTTAGCTTGACTGGTCTTCAATGGTCCACATGGCACTATATACCACAGAATAGAACTCTTCAAATCTACCACTATGAAAAACTAAAATACTACAGACTTACCTATTGCCAACCAAACGCCAAATCGTATCCATGTGTATACATCCAGCACTAACATGAGATACAGGTTGATGAATACACTGAGTGCAGGTACAATGGGCACCAAAGGAACCTGCAACAGTAGCACAACACACAAAATGGCATGCTCCAGTATCTCATTGCAACAGATGCATATCTTGGAATGCAGTATAAATCTAACATCTAATTTTATGTAATATATCACAAAATGTATTTCATGTAGAAACAAAAGAAATCTTTATTTACAGTGTAGGACTAGTAATGATATTAAATTAAAAGAACATTACAAACAATACTGCAAAATTCTAACTAATGTCATCAAAGCGGCTAAAAAAATTCACTACGACAGGAGGATTATAGACTCTAAAAATAAATCAAAAACTATTTGGAACATAATCAAAACTGAAACTGGGAAAAAAGAAGATAAAGTAGACATTCAATCCCTTGATATTAAGGGTGTTATAACTTCCGACCAACAAATCATGGCAAAAAATCTTAATGATTATTTTGTAACAGTTGCTGAGGATATTATTGATAATACAAGTATTAGTAAAACTGGACAGCCTATGCATGATAACTATTTAAATTATATGTCCTCAATGTTCACGAGTCCGCTGTCAAATATTCGACCTAAGCATGCCTCTACCCATGAGATAGAAGGAATCATCAAATCCTTAAAAGCCAAATACTCCCATGGTTATGATGAGATACCTGTCGCAATATTGAAAGCTAGTGCCCTATTTATTAGTTCTCCGCTAACATATATTGTAAATAAATCTCTTTCTTCAGGAATTTACCCAACTAGACTGAAATTTTCAATAGTAAAACCAGTATTTAAAAGTGGGGATAAACTTAACATCTCTAACTATAGACCAATATCTTTGTTACCGGCTTTCTCTAAGGTATTTGAAAAGGTAATATATTCAAGGCTTAACCAGCATCTAATACAAAATAAGATACTTGCTAGTGATCAATATGGATTTAGAAAAAACTCTACAACAAATAGGGCCTCTTTTAAATTATTAAATGAAATTTTAGTAGCCATGAACAATAAATTAACTATTGGGGGCATTTTCTGTGACCTGAAGAAAGCATTTGACTGTGTTAACCACGAAATATTTTTAAATAAACTGGGATACTATGGGATAAATGGAGTATTTAAAAAATTAATCAAGTCTTATTTGAACAATAGATACCAAAAGGTAGTATTAAATAATAGGACAACCTATAATACCACCTTTTCTGATTGGGAGATCATCAAATATGGTGTCCCACAAGGCTCTATATTAGGTCCTTTATTTTTCTTATTGTATATTAATGACTTACCCAAAGTAATAACAAATAATGCGAAGATTATTTTATTCGCTGACGATACTAGTATCATAATATCCGATTCGAGCCCTCATAATTTGGAAATTAATATGAATAAACAATTCTTAGCCATAAACAAATGGTTTGAAGCTAACCTGCTATCCTTAAATTTTAATAAAACCCACCATCTCCTGTTCAGGACTAAAAATAGTTTGGTAACAGACATAAGCATATATCATCAAAATAAGAATATCACTAATGTGCCAAATATTAAGTTTCTAGGTATTTATATTGATGAAACATTATCATGGAAGTCTCATATTGATAAATTAGTAATTAAAATGAGTGCAGCTTGCTATGCAATTAGAACTGTAAGAGGTCTCATGTCACAGGAAACCCTAAGGATGATCTACTTTGCCTATGTGCATACTATCATGAAATATGGGATAATTTTCTGGGGTAGCTCAGCAACTAGAATACTAGACATACCACAAATTTGCATCTTCCCACATCACGCCTAACAATCTTTCAGAAAGGACCATATTATTTTGGTATCAAGGCTTATAACCACCTGCCATCCAGAATCAAGAGTATGAGTAATGATGTGAAACTATTTAAATTGAGGCTAAAAAGATTTTTTCTTTCAAATTCTTTTTATTCCTTAGAGGAATATTTTAACCATGTATGTAATTAAAATTGGTAATTGTACCCCTGATATGTTATAATTTTATATCATTACCTAAGTATTTTGTATCAATTATTGTTTTATAATTTTGATCATTTTATGCATTGTACTTTAATATAAATCTTTTAACTGTCTTAATGACAAAAGTATGTATGTAGTTTTTGTATTTTGCGTATTTTAATCTATTAGCTTGGGACAAAATCCATATCCACTGGTCAGCTGTACCATAAGGATCAACGGAATGTATAAATGTAAATAAATAAATAAATGTATAATGAAAAATGAGAAGAAATTGTTCATATGAAAACAAAAGTGATGCCTTTCCATTTGTCTTCAAAAATTCCATTTGACTTATACATGGCATATTTATATGAGCTGTAGTAGTCACATGTGGTTAGTTTTTTTGTGTAATACCCAAACTCGTCTACTTACATTATTATTCACAAATTTTTAATTGTTTCCTCTGGTTTCCATCTTATCTAGGGACTTGTATAGACATATGAGTATCATGGAAAAACATTGTCTCAGTTTTAACCATTCTTTCTCTGTGCACATACATACACACAAATACACACATAACAGGAAGGATATAAAATTTGAGCCTACCTCACTCACTTAATTTGAAATCTGAACAATGTCTCACCTTGAATGAAAGTTTCACACTGGAATTGGGTTGCCTGCCAATAATAAATAACATAACAAGCATCAAAAACACAAAAACAACAGCCAGTATAACTGCCCACAACTTGAGATCCTTCAAAGCACTTCCTCCATATATGATGACTGAACAGAAACCAATAGTAAGAATACCTGAAAAGGAAAGCAGTGTCAATGTGGAAATTTCGTAACAGGGGTATAGTACGTCTTAATGCAAGTAGCGGCATTCCTCAGTTGCTGCAGGTACTTGCAAATACAATCCATAATTGTAACTGTATTAGTAGAGGAAAGGTTCCTGTGCTTTTGTTCTTTTATTGGTATGCTTAAACTTTTGCTTCCACAGAATTAGTTTGTTTAGCCTGCATTTCATATCCATTGTTTTACTGTTATGGTGTATGCATGCAATCCAGCTACAATTATCTCTAAGTTAATAACTAGCCACCAGCCCCATAATACCAAGGAATTAATCCCACAAGTGCCAAGTGGAAAAGGTTCTGACATTTACAATAATTTCTGTACCTGACAGCACATGACATCTATTGGCATTTTATCTTAGCTACGTGCTCAAGGAACATTTGAAAGTACTAGAAGTTCTGAGGAAAATGGTATACATGTGATTTGCCCGTTAAAGAAGAGCAGCTCTGGCAAACTAAAATGGCAGCTTAACATTGTATGAATCAACAGCTGGCACTCCTGGGATCAGAATCCCTTGTTCTTGGATAACAAAGTTTAACTTCATAAAGCAAAAAGTAATGAAATGTAACTCACTGAACAAGACAATTGACCACTTGGTTATGGACGATGACAATAAGCTGGGATATTTAATCATAGAAAGGTTAAATAACAGTTTCATGAGATGAAGAACTGAGCCAATGATACCAGCATTACCAGAATGAATCCCCTGTTCATGTGAGGGATAATCAAATGAAGATGGAGATGGATCTTCATATCTGAAAAACATAAACGTTACAATAAATCATAAGCACAATAGACCACTCCCGGTCGCGGTGCAAGGCCGAGAAGGCTCACCTCTTATACATTCATACATTATATAATAAATAATTCCCAGTTCAGTAAGTGGGTATTTGAGCCATTGCAGTATCTGTAACCTTCCATGGAATCATAATAAAACTGCAAGATACAAAATAAAAAGTAATACACATGAACTACATGAAATTTTAGCAGTGAAATTTGTGTATTAGTAGCAGCTCAAATGTGTGATCAAACATGATAATACCCTGCACCCACAGAATAAGTGAATGTGATTTCATTTAAAAGCAATACAGAAAAATGATACTGAGAATGATATGACAAGTATTTTAACAATTTCTTCTGTATGTCAGATGTAAATGCTGTATTGTGGAATGATATACTGTGTAATTAGTTACCTAAGAATGAGGACACAGATGGCAACAATGGTATATGCTAAGAGAGTTCCAATAGACATCATGTCAATAAGCTGCTGCAGATCAAAAATGGTGGCCATAATCCCTGCAAAGACAACACAACTGCATAGTGTTTTCTTTATATGCATCTGTGGCAACTTAGAAACAATTTCTAGTACCAACACAACTCAAATATAAAGTTTATTTTTATCAAAGAGATGGTAATAGAGTATATTTTAAATTATATTACTGACCAGTAAGTTGAAGAATACTATCTTTTGGGACATGACACCATGTACTCTGATAGAAGCAAGCACTCTCTTTGCTGCTTGGTCGTTGCTTGCTCAGCTTATTCTTTGACTCTGAAGGTAGAGGTAGTACTTTCCTCCAAAATGTCGATGAACTCCTACCATACTACACACTGTCACATTACAGAAGATAGCATTGTTCACGGTCACTGTTGTGAGAACCTCCTAGCTCACAAGCACCAAGTTATTGTGAGCAGATAGCCAATGTTTCTAATTGACATATCTTGTTCATGAAACTGAAAAGGTTAATAAAACACATTTTTATAGCATACTTAAACTGGTAGGGTTATTTACAGTGATGGATCAACTGCAATAGTCAGAAAGTATTTAAGAGACTTGAAGAAAATTGTGCTTTATTACCATAGTTTTTTAATTTCCCTGTAGAAAGTCCATCAGGAACATTCAACAGGATAAAAGAAGGTTGGAGTATAGTGGCCTGAATCAGCATGCCATTAGAATTAATTTCATACAAAAAAGTACAAGTACAATTAATAATAACGCATATGTATGTGTCTGTATATGCAGTACAAAAGAAAATGCTAAAGATTTTATTTTTGCTTCTAGTGAAATTGTAGGCTGAATGATGATTTTAATGTATAAGTACTGGGTAAACTGCCATGAAAAATTATTAGAAAAATTGTTAATTATAATATTATATTTTCCTTTAAAGGTATTGTAAAATATCTGTTCATTGCAAGGAAACTTGGAAGACAGAGGATAATAAAATAGATTGTTTTGGAAGTAATAAGCAGCAGTGAAAATAAATGGATAAATACAATTTTAAAAAATTACAGTGCTGCAATGTATAATTCATTACAACATTGGGCCTATTCTATTAAATTCAGGGGTTACACAAGAGGGTCCTGTTGTATTACACACATAGTACAATAAACTAAACTATTTTTTTATATTTGTTTCATTCTGGTCCGTCACACTAATAATATTATGAAAAAGTTAAATAGTTCTGTCTAGTGTGACTGGTTAAGATTTTCTTATTTCAATTATTCATGCCCTTACATAGTTCGGTCTTCAGAGACCATCTTCAGAGGGACATCTTTACATCAATACAGTTAGAAGCCACTATTACAGCACATGTTCTAAAAGTTAAAATATATACATACAGTATAAATAACTATTTAACTTTTTCATAATAAACTAAACTAATTAACATATACATTATTTCACTTGCATAATCTAAACAATGGATATGACGTTTCTGAGAACCATTAAAAAAAAAAGAAAAAGAAGGGATAGAATTGGAAATGAAATCTTTAAAGAAATTTTGGTTAAAATTTTGTTAACAGGCACAGAAGAAAAACAGTTACAATGGCTTAGCCAGCTAAAGAGAATGGACAGAACAGAGATAACACAAAAGGCATCAGAATTAATGTTTAAAGAAAAGATATTTGTGGGATGATCCACAACAAGTTGGTTCAGCCAGATACTGGAAAACAAGTAGAGGTAGAGGTAGAGCAAAGAGGTAGGAAGAAAGAAGAAATAAGAGATCGTTTGTTGACCAACCCATATAAATTGGAAACAATGCCTGAAGAAGAAGAATTCATAAGCTAACAAAGAAACTAGTTTAGAGGCATAATGGCAGTTATAAGAAGAAGAAAAACTGATTCTGTGAATGATTCAGTGATTCAGTTTTCTCAAAGTTTGTGTCAGACAATATGCAGATCAACACTTTATGAAAGACATTACCAGCCAATAGTCCTGAGAGTAGAGTAGCCAGCACAGGGGTCTTCGTTCGTGGATTAATCCTGGCTAAACAGCGGAACAGCAACCCATCATTAGCCATTGCATACAGGATTCGAGGTAGAGGGAACATGGCTCCCAACAAGCTACATCAAATAAAAATGAAACTCTGATAAGAAAAATTAGGCTCTCTGAGGCTGCACAACATTTAACATAAACTAATTGTTTCAAATTGGGCAGACAGTAGCGTAGTTGGTTGAGGCACTACGCTACAAGCCGGAAGGTCGTGGGTTCGATTCCTGATGAGGTTATTAGATTCTTAATTGATCTAATCCTTCCAGCTGTGCTATGGCCCTGGGGTCAACTCAGCCTCTAACAGAAATGAGTATCACGAATTTTTCTGGGGGGTAAAGAGCGGCTGGTGCATAAGGCTGACAATCTTACCTCCACCTGTGAGCCAGGTGTCTAGAAAATGTGAGAGCCTCGATGTCTCACAAGCCTATAGGCCTTCACGGCCTATTACAGGGATAGCTTTACCTTAACTTTATACTAATTGTTTCAAATGCTTGGATAAATAATAAATAAACTTCTTTTAACAGCCCGTGTATTACATTTGTTCAAATACTAGACATGTGTTCAGTTGGTTTTCTTTTGCAGAATAATATTTTTTTAATTATCTCCTATACAAATACTATTTTAAATTTACTAAATAATTTTGTACCTAAAGTTACTAACTGAAACAGAACAATCAGTTTGGTTTCATTTCAAAGTATACAGTATTGCCCATTATTTAATGACTGCACATTTAACAGCAAAATTGCTTGCACCTGCAAGTGAAGTTATAAAGTAGTGTTGTGACAAAGTGTATATGTACAATTGTAAGAAGTAAATTTATGTTTTCGTACATAAAAAAAATATACCAATTGTGTGGATAAGATGGTCTTCATGTGGTGATGTAAGCAATGTATTCTTTACCTTGTGCAGAGTGCAAACACAGCACCCACTGTCACAATCCACATTATAGCTGGCCAGCCAACTTTTGTAAAGACATGCGGTAGAGGTGCATTTTCATCCTGAAACAGCAACATCATGTATAGTTTACAAAGCCTCTGATTCGCCCTGAAGATGGTAACTGCAATATATGACAAAACACTGAACATATTGAATGTGTGACACAACTAATATCCAAAAGTCAAAGTTAGATATTATATAGAGTTTTCACAGATCTAAGTAAACTGTTTTGCCATTACCACTCTTCCTCCCTGATGATGAAAGCAAGAGATTTCTTGGAAATATTGGTAATGTCCTACAAGACGACACAGCATAACATCCCAGAAGACTGTAATCTTCGTGGTGACCACGATGAGAACCTCAGATCTTGTACAATATCATACAATTCAGTACACAACACTACAAGAATATTCTACTACATATAAACAGTTTAGGCTTGTTATTTTCTGAGTATGTATGTTGCGAAGTATTTTTATTTACTTATGGTCAATTTAATTTTGTCCAATATTCTTCTTTCAAGGTTAAGTCCATATACAGATGAAATCACTGGGGATCATCAGTGTTGGTTTCAACATAACAGATCAACTACAGATCAGATCTTTTGCATTCGTCAGATATTGGAGAAAAAATGGGAGTACGATGAGACACTACATCAGCTATTCACAGACTTCAAGAAAGCCTATGATTCAGTTAGGAGGGAAGTATTGTACAATATTCTGATAGAGTTATGATACCCATGAAACTAGTTAGGCTGATTAAAATGTGTTTAAACAAAACATATAGTAAAGTCCATGTAGGTAAACATTTGTCTGATAAATTTCCTATCCAGAATGGTCTAAAACAAGGAGATGCTTTATCGCCACTCCTTTTCAACTTTGCTTTAGAATATGCCATTAGGAAGGTCCAGGGAAACCAGGTGAGACTGAAATTAAACAGGACACATCAGCTGTTGGTCTATGCTGTTGATATGAATGTACTGGGTGATAATGTAGATACCATAAAGAAAAACACACAAACTTTAATTGACACAAGTAAAGAGGTTGGTCTAGAAGTAAAAACAGAGAAAATTAAGTATATGTTACTGTCTCATCACCAAAATGCAGGGCAAAATCATGACATAAAGATAGGAAACAGATATTTTGAAAATGTGGCACAGTTGAGATATTTGGGAACAACGATAACAGATCAAAACCTGATTCAGGAGGAAATTAAGAGGAAATTGAACTCGGGTAATGCTTGCTACCATTCAGTCCAGAACCTTATAAATAAAGCTGCCTTTTCACAACATTTCAAGTTGTTGAGGTTAGGTATTTTTAATGAAACTTGTGTTTTAACCATTTTCCCAATTGGCATTTAAAAGGTACTAATGCTAACATAAAATCTGAAGTTGTCATGAATAATCAGATGTCTCAGTAACGAAACTGTCTCTGTCTCCAACATCAGCATCCAATAAGAGTAGCATCTAGTTGGCAAACTCCATACTAGCAACCTTATGCTGAAATAAGTCACCACTCATATAAATAAGCTAACAGAACATGAATAATGTGGAATCAGGAAAGAAAAAATTACAAGAATATGGCCTGTAAAAATAATAAGGATGCTGAGTAGGACATCAGAATTAAAATTTTAAAGAGGTACTGATGGGATGACAGAACAAGATGCCAGGTACTGGTAGACAAATAATAAAAAAAAAGGGATGTGCTGGAAAGAATCCTGAGAAGGAAAGTTTGTGACAAGAGAAATCATATTGGAGACTTTCAATCCATTGGTCTGTATAAAATAAAACTGTACATATGCATATAAAAAGAGATAAAACGAACTTATCCACATACCTCCAGATCCAAAGTGTAATGCTACATTTTCACTACATCTGTTACAAACATCTCTACTTTCTACATACATATAATTGTAAGCAGTACTGGGGAAATGAATGCCGGTCACATATATCTTTCCAAAACGGCCTTAATTACGTATCTCATCATATACTTTTCCTGTCATAGTTTCACTTTATGCCATAAATCAGGTGGCTGTGAGATTCATAGTGGACAAAGTGGTACTGAATCAGGTTTTCCTTTGAGTTTCTTCAGTCCTTACCTGCTAGTTATCACTCCATCATTGCACAACACTAATTGTTCACTGCTCTCCAAGGTGTGTGAGAGCCCTGATCAGGCAGCACATTATCACATCCTTGGTTTTAATTTGGGGGGATTCATCTCTGATCTGCCTCTCGGCTGGTTACAGCATAAGTAAGTAAAGATTTTATCACAGTTAACAGAAAAATATTTCAAAGAGTGTAATTTACTTTGAAACAAATCAAAAAGTGCTGAGATCAGTAAAACATTTGAGGATTTCACAGTAATATTAAGCCATAAGATCTTCTTGGGTGACAACATTCATTGATTTTGGGCAGAATTCTAAAATTCTGGAGACTCTCTCTCCATGCTATACAGTTTAAAAATTGTTTTTCATACACCTACATCATGGAGACCCAATTTTTCACGCTTTCATCCACCCATTGTCCTTCATAGTACGTGTATTGTCCTTGAAGGTGGGGTCATCATGATGTACGAGTATATAATCCAGTACATGATTCCCTGATGATGGAGACTGATATCTTTGAAACTCTGCACCAAACTGAAGCCTCTGATCACTCCAGAAGATTTTCATTATTTGGCACCGTAAGAAAGTAACTAATTTTGGAATCTATAATGAACAGGGGGAGCAGGAGTCTACCAGATGTACAGGAGTTATGATTATTGATCTTTTAACCGTAAGTGCACCACTAACCTGGTCGTAGTAAGGCCACATCATTGTGAGTACTGTTGAGATTCCAAAGTATGAAAAGAATATTATAATCAGAGATATTACAATAGCAATTGGAATTGATTTTTGTGGATTCTTTGCTTCCTCTCCTGAAAATAATAATGTACAAATATGTAAAAATCTGATACTTATATTGACCCATCCAGATTAATATGTAAGTAGCCACGAAATAAAGGTGCAGTGAAAAATTATGACAGTTGTTCAAATGAAACCATTTGAGGAGTGTTCTTGGAGGAGTAGATTATGTAAAGTTGTCACCATACTTAACTAATTACCTGCCATGCCATGAAGACGTATGGGAATTGGAGGTATAGCTTTGCAAATTCCTAACCTTAGCACTACTTGGAGGATAGCAAACAGATTCATGACCCGGGCAGGGAGAAGGAGTAGAGACCATTTTAAGTAATGGGCATTGAGGCAGGCATCCCATCAATGCACCATCCATTCTCCTTCGTAACTCACTGAATATCACGCAAACAGCCACATGATCACCAGCAATCAGCCATTTTCGCTAACAGCGCTATGAATTGGTTTCATTTGAATAACCCTCAAATATCAAATGAGAAAAGAAACTATGATTTGACTTATCAACTTTGTTCTTGACAAATTCTGCCAGCTAACACTTAACCTATCACACTACTAAACCATTTACTCTTCATAGATATCTAAATGCAGATTTCTTTACACTAGGAAACTATGATGCGGATTAGTCTGTACTGGGTCAAAGAAGGATTAAGTGATGAGGTTTCTCATGTGCTCCTCAATTGGATGACAAACTATTCAGTAATGTATAGAATTGTTTTGTGCTCTACAGTATTACCTGTTGTTGCCACACAGTCAAAACCAACAAATCCATAGAAGCACTTTGCTGCTCCTGCCATAATGCCTGACAATCCAAAAGGCATGAAACCTCCTTCCCCCGCTCTTGAGGCCACAGCTTGTGGAATTTCTGATTTGGATATTGCCCAGTTGTGAACATCAGCTAAAACACAAATTCATGTATTTTCTTATAAAGTTATGATTTCCAGTAGCCTGATTTCTGATTAATTAATATACTTTTCACACATTTCATGCTACCTTATATACATACTAGGTCTATGCAAATCACAGATACAGTTTAATGTCTACAAATAACATGTTATAAAAGTTCATTCACATATTTAAATTTCCTTCAGTCTGTAAATTTGGTGTGCACATTTTTATAAAAATATTTTATTCAGTGTTTAAACATAATATGTACACAAAACCAAACTGTTTTTTCAGCACTAACACCTTCTAAATCACTAAACTGCAATACAATCAAGCATAAGTTCGACTATGGTAAAATATTATTCGGTGTCTAGAATATGCACGTGTATATATATATATATATATGCAATAATGTAAATAATTGACCAAATGTTAACTTGTGCTTTGTAACTTACATTTCAAAGATCCTGCTATTATAACAATTGAGACAGTGAGCAAATTAACACCAGTGAATATGTTGTTGAGAAATGTAGATTCTTTCACACCACTAGACAGGATACCTGTTGACATAAACCAAAAGTTCATGGTTCCATTTTAACTGACAATAATAAAGAACTGTTTAGTATTTTTCAAGTAAGCAATAAGAGAAATATGAAATGATTCTGGTGCACGATGAATCGCAACAAAAGTGGATGATGATCGAGAAATCTACATTTAAATTCCATAAATATTCAAGCTTCAAATGCTTAATACACTTACAACTGATCACAAAATTGCCTATTTAATACATACTCAGTGTCCAAACCAGGAGTAAGGTTGACACCTTTCTGTTTTTGGTATCCAATTTGTTATGTTGGTCAAATGGGCTAAATAAAGATACTATATAGCACATGACATTGCTGTTGTTTGTGTAACTATTCCTGTGCAACAACACAGTAGCAAAGAAACAACACAGACTTACACGACACAGTGCACAAGGAACAAGAACACAGCTACTGTTGAGTCAGCCCATTTTCAAGAAGGACATGTGTCCATAATAGTCTACATCTTTGAACCTTGTCTTGTTAATATTTCAACATATGTTTAATTCACTGCGATGTGTCAAACTGTCCTCAGAGAAGGGAGGTGAGTAAGTGACTTATACATTAGAGATTGTAAGACTCCAAAACTTACCTGCCAAGACCATTATAACTGCAAAGGAAAAGAAGTCTGGATATTGTGAAAGAAAATCAATATTGATAGGCATGATTTCTCTCATCTTATTCTGCATGATATTGCCTGCAAGTTTATCAATGTAGCTGCTAAGTCCACGAGCCACACTTGCTGTTCCTGAATACAAATACAAGACCTCTATCAGTTCTTCAAAAATAAGAGCCTGTTTACTTTAAAATTAGATCAATCATTCTACATACTATGAAGTCTTCTTCAGCAATTAGAACAGCTGATTACCTGGATGACTTCATTGCATACAGTCACTATGAAAGCTTTCAATCTTATATTCTACAAGATGTTACAACTACTACTGTACCCTTTTATTGGTTTAGGTATTTTTTCTGTCTTGAAGGAATCCCCAGAGCAAATATTTCACTAATGACAAATTATACAAATTACATTTATTTGCTGGTCAAGAGAATTGGCAGTGGGGTTAAGAAGCATATATTCCTTTCCTGTGTTTTCTATAAAGGAGGAAATACACTCAATATTAATGATGAGAATTGAAGGTATTTTTGAAAAAGTATTCATCTCCTTAAATATTCTATGTTGCTCAGAAGAAAAGAGTCGTAAATGGCTTAATGTAAATTTGCAAGCAAATGTTCTGGCTGTCACCATTTTGAAAATCATTCTGATGGCAACCAGGTTGTGGTTTTTCCAGGGAAAGCAAGACACATGAAGATGACTGGTATCTGTGTACAAATCATGCGACCCACAGAAATTCTGAAGGGATAAAAAGCAATTTTATATTCTGAGCAGGGGTGAATTCATTATGAGCAATTTTTAATCATGGTATCTAAGATTTAGAATACTCCAATTCAGTCAACCAACCACCAACCAACCAACTGACTAAGTGACTGAGCTGTTACATATCAGTGCAAAACCTATTCTTGAACAAGGAAAACTGTAATACAAGCATTCACAGTTAAAAAACTAATAATTCAAAATCATTTGTAGTGAAAGTGTTGACATCTGATGTCAGCGGTCACTGTCATACTCTGGGAAAATGTCTTTAGTACCAACCATGTGGGCCTCAAAGCCATTTTGTCTGTAACAATGGCAGAAATGAGACAGAATAAATTTTCCTAAGTAGGCGTGCATTTAAGAGATTTATCTTCAATAGTACTGCATTTTTCTGATCACTTACCTATAACATATTCCAAAACAAGGTTCCATCCAATCACAAATGCTACAAATTCTCCCACACACACATAACTATAGATGTACGCAGAGCCTGCTCGGGGAACTCTGGCTGCAAACTCAGCATAGCAGATACCTATAATGGTGAAACAGGAAGTATTCACTTCTTGTCTGGAATCGCCTTAAAATTAAAACTGATGGAACAGTACATTCACATTTTTATCGAGACATCAAAGAATCCACTATAACTAGTCTCTTAATCTGACACCTGGACTATATTTAATACTTTCTTTTGCACATCTTCAATAATTTTACTGGAGAAAAAGTAAAAATAACTAATCAGTTATATATTAAACCATTTCTTATCTTCAGGGATTGAATTAGTAAATAAGTATACAATAATATATTCTAAGAAACGGAAGTCATTACAAGTCTTTAACAAACCTAAAGATAACTACCTATCATATTATGATGGTATCTATAGATACTATAAAGAGAAACGCACAAACTTTAATTGACGCTTGTAAGGAGATTGGCCTAGAAGTAAATACAGAGAAAACTAAGTATATATTGCTATCTCATAACAAAATACAGGGCAATATCAGGACATAAAAAGAGGTAACAAATGTTTTGAAAATGTGACACAGTTAAAATATTTGGGCACGATTATAACAAATTACAACCTGATTCAGGAGGAAATTACGCTTGCTACCATTCAGTCAAGAACCTTTTGTCTTCTCATCTGCTGTCTAAAAACATAAATATTCGAATATACAAAAATATAATTTTGCCTGTGGTTCTGTGTGGGTGTGAAACTTGGTCCCTGACATTAAGGGAAGAACACAGACTGAGAGTGTTTGAGAACAGGGTGTTGAGGAGAATATTTGAACCAAAGAGAGATGAAGTGACAGAAAGTTGAAGAAAACTGCATAATAGGGAGCTTCATAACTTGTACACTTCTCCAAGTATTATAAGAATGATCAAGTCAAGGTGGATGATATGGGCAGGCCATGTAGCACTAATGGGGGAGAGGAGGAATGTGTATAGGATATTGGTGGGAATGCCAGAAGGAGACCTCTGGGAAGGCCAAAATGTAGGTGGGTGGGCAATATTAAAATGGATCTTAGAGAGATAGGATGCGATGGTACAGACTGAATTTGAACTGGCTCAGGATAAGGACAGGTGAGGGGCTCTTGTGAACACGGTAATGAACCTTCAGGTTCCATAAACTTGCCCTATACAAACTTCTTAATTTCCACGTACCAAATCGCATGTCCATTTTCTTTAGCTTCGGTCATTTATCCTGAAAATCCATCCAGGTCAAAGGCCCTTTATGACATTTTGTAACAAGCTTATTTTTTACATTGAGGAGTTATTAGCTCCACACCCAAGCCCCAAGCTGGAGAGCCACCCTTTGTCAGCTGTCCATGACTGATTATTCAATATATTTTCAGCTACCCTCCATATCTAGAGGCCATCTCTTCCATCCACAAACTAAGGGCGCACCGCGCTGTGATTTCAAAAAACCCACCAAATGCAAATTCCTGGCATTATTATTAGTTTTCCATTGTTTTCCTCAGTCCCTTCAAATTAAACTTGAAGCCACAAGTACTTCTTACAATGTTCTTTCAGTCTCAACTGCCTTATCATTATCATTATCATTTATTTACATGTCAAAAATCCTTTACAAGGTCATAAGACTCAGGATATAGACAATAGTCCAATATAACAATTAAATATAATAATTACAAAAAATATAATACGTGTTAAAATATTTATGTAAACATCATTTGTCATTTCACACTGTACATAACCTTGGCATACACTGATAACTGAAGACATGAAAAATTGAACCAAAAAATGCTTACGGAAATTTCTTGTGATTGTAGAAATGTTTCACCATTTATGCATTAACCTTTTCAAATTCACATAAACAATATTTAAAAATAAAATTCCCATCTCATTATAAACACAATGAATGAATGAATGAATGAATGAATGAATGAATCTCCATTAAGAAGACCAACTAGTTAACTCTTTTTAAAAATATCACTGTTTATTCTGGGAATAACACAACACATATAAATATGCTCTGTGGACAAAATGAGGAGTTTCTGCATGTTAAAGCAGGCAGTGCACATAGTAACCACCATCTTCTAAATGGCTGAGAATGTCTAAAATATTCACACAATACAGCATTTCTTCTAAAGCACCCAAGAGTACAGTTAAAATGAAACATAAAAACATAAATCAGTTTCTACTGCAGTTTCCTCATGCTTGCTTTTACGAGCAAAATCAATTACATTGATTTGCTCTGCTAGCTCCTTAAAAGTAATCTCGTGAAAGTGTTGTACTTTAAGGAATGTCTCTTTCACAAACAGACAACATTTTTTCACCTATTACTGAACAAAAAGCAAGTTACATAATATGTAATTGCAAATGTTCCCGACATGAAAGAAATGAACACTGATATTTGTAGCAGAATATCAATAGCTTATAATGAAATTCAATTGGCTGAATTTTTAGCTATACCTTCATATCAGACAATTGAATTCCAATTGCAAACTTACAGATTTCCTTCCAACAAGTGGTGAAATGTCCAACTCACATTTTAAATACATGACAATTGCTGCATATGGTGTTAATGGCATGACAAATATGTCCTGTCCACAGCTTCTGTGAGACTGCAGTAAGGACATGGCATCAAAGTCTAGCCCTGCTGGGAGCACAGACCATTACAGCAGCTATGTATATTACTGCTAGCAATAATACAAATATCATGAACAATTCGCTGTAAAACAATACAGGTAATGGGGCATCAGTAATTTTCAATTAAGATCTAAAAGTTTGTGATGTTGGTACATTGCTACAAGTATCATATTTTTGGACATTATCCATCATCTTGTCTATATTAAAAAACAGTCCTCTTTATTTTTCAAAACACAGAGATTTGGAGACAAACATTGTGTTTTGAAAAATAAACATTTAGAATCAGTGAGCAGAGGAATATCCTACACGAAATAAGAGAACGGAAGGCTAATTGGATTGGTCATGTTTTACGCATGCCTTCTAAAAGAAGTTATCGAAGGAAAGATAGAGGGGCAGATAGAAGTAACAAGAAGATGAGGAAGAAGACGTAAGAAGATGCTGGATGACCTTGGGGACAGAAGAGGATACTGTCATTTGAAGGAGAAAGCTCTAGATCGCATTAAATGGAGGAACTGTTTTGGAAGAGACTGTGGACCTGTTGTCTTGACAGATTACTGATGATGATGATGATGATGATGATGATGATGATGATGATGATGATGATGATGATGATGATGATGATGATGATATATCACACATACCCTACTTATTCTCAACAATAAGTTCTGCTCTTCCTTATTTATCTTTATTTAGTAACCAGGATACACACACTTCATTTACAATATCAGCTGTCTAATATGATGGCATCTATGATCATACATCTCACAGTCAGCTGTTTATAAGCAACAGTCATACAGTTCAGCTATTCAGTACTGTCTCTCTAACAAAGACCTACATTTTTCTGATACCATGTAATATCACTCTTCGTCACATACTTATTTTTCCAGTATGATCTGCTGTTTGTATCCAGGTGACAGATACTTATTCAGAGACTCTGAATAAAGAGGTAACCGCTGCGTCATTGGGAATCCCCAGTAATCTCTTATCTGTCGACAAAGATTAAGATCCAGTTCTGCCACCATCAAACCATCCTGAAGACGACTGAGTCCTGGGGTGCGGCTACCATCCGGAGCAGCTGCATAGCTGGACCCATAAAAATGGCCAAAATCTTTGTGGGCTGGACGTCCATCACCTGATGAAAATTCGTTAGGATATATCTCTGTACCAACTCGGTTAATTGCAAAGGTGAAATATCCATTTGCAATGGCCGCATTACGTGCTTCAACTCCCCACAGGGGCTCACTAAGTTCACCGACAGTTGCTGATGGATTGAAAACGATCTCAGCGCCATTTAATCCAAACATAAGCCAATTAAGTGGATGATGGCGACCATAGCAAATATTTACAGCTATCCTTCCAAATCTGGTTTCAAAAACTGGATGTCCTGTGTCTCCTTCCATGTAATATGTGGACTCATTGAAGTCTCCAACTCTGGGGATGTGGTTCTTGCGGTGCTTGCCCAACACCCGACCAGTATTCGATATCACAACTGCAGTGTTCCACAAGATATCTTCATGGTCCACATCTCGTTCCAAAATTGGGGACACAATAACGATGTTGTGTTGCTTGCAGAGACGCCGTAACAACTGCGTAGTCGGCCCGTCCTCGGCTGACTCGGCCAGTTCACACCAGGGCTCCTTCTCTCTGGTGCAGAATACAAATGGGCAGGGCCAAGCCTCTTGCAAACATAGCACGTTGACTCCACACAAAGCCGCCGCCTCCACAATCGTTGTAATGCGTTCATGGATCGCGTCTCTTTGTGCCTTCAGTGGGGCACTTGTAGGAAGAACGATGTGGTTCTGAATGATGCCCACTCGAACAACTCTGGGTGCTCTCAGCTGCTCAGTTCGGGCTTCGAATTTGTAACCCTGAATCTCGAAGCCATAATTCAGCGCAAGTCTCTCAGCTTCGTTGGGAATACTCAAAGCCTGTAATTCTTTGCCGTAAAATACCCGCTTTACCTCTGCCAGAGCATCTGGCGGCATATGTTGCGATAAAAGTTTTTCCACACTTTCATATTCTGGCTTTCTGGATGACATCCTGCGTACTGCACACTCTATCCCACTCTCTTCGGTATCACACAGTTATTTATAACTCGCCGCGCACTGCGCCGTGCCCCTGGCGTTCACGTACTGTCTCGCTTGCACTGTAAACAAGCCTACAAATTATCGACCAAGGCGAAACAGATAAACCGGAGAAACGTTAGCGGTCCCCCGGTTGTCACCAAAGTCGAATGTACCTCCCCCCCACCCACGGAACTTTTTGGGGGGAAAAAAATACAAATTTAAAATGAATAATGTGTACCAAATATCAATGCCATTAAAATAATTATAATAACATTCCTCTACTCCTTCAATACTCTACGGCGATTAGGAAAAAACGTAATTCTATAAATAATGTTCTGTTTGCCACCACCCCCCCCCATCTCCTGGAAAAATGTTCTAACGACGCCCGTTGTTATGCCGGAAGTTTTTGTGGTACTCTGTACAGTCTTCAGGTAACGCTGAGGGCACTGTTTACGCACATGTAAGCCTACATAACTTGTCTGTTCCTTTGTTTATATATACAATACGTGGTGACGTGTTTAATCAAAATCAGTTACACACAAAAGTGTTCAAAAATGTCACAAATAGACACGCCACGATGGTAATCTGGAAAGTACACGCCACTGCAGCCCTGACCCCAGTAAACACGGATCCCTTGGTGAGGAACTCATTAGTTTTTCATGCGTGTAAATTAAAAGCAGCCGGTCACGGTATCCGAGCGGTCTAAGGCATGTACTGTCTTCGCTCGCTTGGAAACCGGGATCGTGGGTTCGAATCCCACTCAGGGCATAGATGTTTAGTTTGTTTGTGTGCGTTTTTCTGTGTCTGTGTACAGGTAGAGGCCTTGCGACGAGCTGATCACCCGCCCAAGGAGTCCTACCGAATGTGTAAGATCTAGAAAAACCGAAGTGAACGGAGAAGTTCATGGAGGTAGGCCTAGGCCCACTGGAGCTGTAGTGCCAAGGAAGAAAAAAGAAGTAAAAGCGAAGTTGTCCCTGTGATTAATTAATTAAGCACCATGCCATGAAGACGTATGGGGGAGTGAAGCTATAGCTCCATCATTCTTGATCCCGGCATTACAAGGAGGTGAGTGGTTAGCTTTTAGCCCCGGCCGCTTTATACCCGGAGAAATAACCCCCCGGTACCCATGGACTATGAGGCTGGGTGGTCCCCAGAGCCGGTATTGAAAATGTGAAGTAGAGAAAATTTTCTTGCCCTTACCAGGAATCGAAACCCGGTCGTCCAGCCCGTAGCCCATCGTTATACAAGCTGGGCTATTCCGGTATAAATTAAAAACGGCAAAGTAAAAAAAAGTAAAGCTATCCCTGTAACAGGCCGTGAAGGCCCCTAGGGTTGTGAGACGTTAAGGGTCCCACATAGATACTTAAATTAAACACAGTAAACCCTCACTAACCTGGATTATTTGGTGGGAGGGGTCATCCAGATCAAGCGATAACCCGGATTAAAGAAGCAAAAATTAGCCCTAAACGACAAAAGAATACTTAGAAAATAAATACATGGAAATTTTAATGATATAGGTAGTGCTGATGAAAATAAATAAAGAAAAAATATCACTGCAGCAATTTCTATCTGTGTTAGAAGCTGAAATCCAGGGTCTCCTTCATCCAGCTCAAGCCAATCTTTGGATGTTTTCTTGTGAAGTTTCAGTCTCTCCAGCTGCACTCAAGACAGTCTGAAAGTCCTCTTACTCTAATCCCCCTTGCTCTTAAATCCCACGTGTCTTTTAAAGTATGTACTCAATTGTGAACAGAATTTTTCATTTTTCATATTCTGATCCGGATTAATTGCCATTGGATTAGCGAGAGTACACTGTATAGCGACTGGCCAAAATCTGATGCAAAGGGAAAACTGCGGATGCTTGAAATATGAGGTTGGCAAAACAGAGGTTTGTCATGAAATACCGTAGTTGCCTACACGTGCCTCACGACGTGAAAATACCAACGTCCATTCGTATTCCTCAGGGAAAATACAAACAGGAGCGATAAATATACGTTTGTCTGTTCACAGAACGGCCTGCAGCATTCAAGTGAAGGTCGTTTCAACATCGACCCAAATCCTAAGGTCAGCATCCAGTAACACTCGTACAATGATTTCGAGTCTGTCGAAAGTTAACGTTCTTTTCTCACATGATTTCTGTATTGCTACAGTGGGGTGAGACTAAGTCCCCTCGTACTTACGCCGCAACTGGGCCCATTGTATCGGACCTGAATAATATATGAAGAGATCTGGCAAAACGATAATCCGGAGGGAAAGATGAAGTACTCGGAAATAAACAGTGCCACTTTGTACACTAAAAATCTCTCGTGGATTGCGCTGTGTTTCATACGATTCTCAGAAGAAGCAGAAATTACTTCCCTGAACAGCATTAACCTTACGACCTTATGAATTCAGTGAGGTGGGAACTGAATTTTAAAATATTATTTAAGTCAATTTAAGGCAAAAGAATGGTTAATAGAGCATTAAAACTGTACTGTTTCCCAAACTCACTGAAACTAGCGAAAGTAAAGTTATCCCTGTATATAATTACGTTATTAATCACTACGCCCTGAAGACGTATGAAGGAGTGAAGATATAGCTCCACCATTTCAAGCCTCGGCACTGAGTGGAGGTGAGTGGTGAGCGCCGCTCCCCTGTCGCTTTACCACCAGTATCCATTGTACAGGAGGGTGGGTGGGCCCCAGAGACACTCTGGACCCTCTGGACGCTGCTGAGTAGAGGAACCGCTCTTGTCTCTGCCAGGAATGGAAATCCAGTTCCTTTGTCTTTCAGCCCTGTACAAACTGAGCTACTGTTGCGAAGACTCCACTGCTCCATAAACCAAATAAGGAAGAAAGTCCTAAAATGATAGACCAGTTAACTTTCTGTATGATAGGCAGACGTTCAGACAGAAAGTTTAAAACGCCCGCAGCATTTCCTTAACCAGAACTCGGTCAATGGATCCGAATGAATTGGGTCTCGGGTCAGACATTCCACTCCTATGCTGACGCAGTGGATGGAACCTGGACGCGATCGCAGCAAGCGACAAAGTCCCTAGATCTAGATCGTGATTTCGACAAGATCCGGAACAGAGGACATAATGCCTAACTGTCAGTACAAATTACGAGTAATATTCACAGCTACTGTGGAACTCGTAACTACTCGTAGAATGGGAAGGAACTGCGTTCTTCTCAGTTCATTCAGCTTGCATGCGCCCTATTCATAATGTCTAATTAACATTTTATGATATATATGTAGGACTCTGTTCATGCCCTTAGGTAAGCTGGACTTTATTACGTGTCAGTATGGCTGAAACTCGTTAACTGCTAGACAACTTATGTTGAAAGTATCCCATATTAAATTAACAAGTTCTGGAAATAACTACTCGCCTACTTTCCTTTCATACGACACGGACCGCATAGAAAACGACGCATCCAACAAATTCTTCTATTGTTTCCTGTGTATTCGTTGCCGCGGTAACGTTCTTACAGACCGTTGCCTAGCAACGAAAGAGGGGAGAACATATGGACACAGACTGATTGGGGGGATTTATGAAGTAAGCCGTTGAGATGGGCTCAGGTGCCATGATATACATACCAAGTTTCATATAAATTAGTTAAAACTTCAGAATTTAATAGGGGATACAGAGACACACAGACAACGTGGTGATCGCGTATGCCTACTTTTTTTTTCAAAAGAAGGAAAATAGGCAAAAGAAAAGAGAAATCTCTCCAACGGTTTAGATGTTGATACTAGGTCACGGGCAGATACACGTGACCTCCACATCAGGCTCACTACACTCAGGTATGCCACATCTCCTGCATGACAGAACACGGAAATAGCCCCTGAAGGAAGTGGGCATATGCTCGGGCCGACCACTGTAGTTATGCTTTTGTCTGGTTCAAAAGAAAAGCATTTCTGATTCCAGGCATGGATATCTTAGTCAATATAGCGACTAAACTATAGTGTCCGGTGGAGGGCAAAAATTTGTATTTTCTCCTTCGCGCCAAGATTGGCTCTTTCCCTAAGGGATAAAAAACCGGAGCCTAAACTGACCACTCCCTCCTTCTAATGTCGAGGTTAAGAATGCATGGAGCTATACCTCCACTCCCCTATACGTGTTTATGTCGTGATAATTAAGAGCGGAGAAAATTTTAGTGTGACATATGTTGTGTGATTAGCTTTGCAACATTAGATTTATATTCTAAAGGGTTCTGACGACGGCGGATAAGGGGACCAACTGAGTAGGCGTCTTCCTTTCTCACCTGAAGACGGAAATAGATCCAGTTACCGAAACGTCGTGTTTTCTGTTTCCTAGAATTCCGGACGATGGAAATAATCCAAAACCCCAGGAACATTAGATTTGTATCTGCAATGAATGAACGCTATATCCCGAAGCATAGAAACGTCGAGAAACGCATCTGGGAACTAGGGGTACCGTTGGTGTCTTGGGTGCAGATTTCCAGTGCTGTTGGTCAGCAGTGCCCACAACTGTCTCTCATCTAAACCGAAACTTACCAGCGAAAGCAGAGGCTACCGCAGCCACTAGGAACGAAATGGTCACAGCTGGACCTGCCTCAGACTTCGCGACTGCGCCAGCCAGAACATACACTCCTAGGCCCAGGGTGCTCCCAACGCCCAGGAGGGTGAGATCCACAATGGTCAGACATCGATTCAACTCAGATTTCTCGACCGATTCATCCGTCAGAGTTTTCTTACGGGAAATCGCCGACAGTATGTTGGACATCATCTTCCTTCACCTGCAACACGACACTACAATTGCAATGATCCGTAGGAAAATACAGATTTGTATACACGGTACTGACGAGGTAGGACATTTTCGAAAATTTTCGAATTTCTTATAATTTCAAAAGTTTTAAGAGTTTTAATTTGTCCAAATATTTTCAGTTTTTTAAGTGTCTGATTTTTTTTAGAAATGCGAGTTTTAAGAACCGTGGAAAGTTCAATAATTTCGAAAATTCTCAATTTTTCGAAAAAAAAATCAGTTTCTTTAAAGTTTCGAGAAAATGTAATTATTTTATAATGTCGAAAAAATCAGTATGCTTTTAAAATTTAAGACAATTTCCGATATTTCTAAATTTTAACATTTTTTAAAAGTTCGATGTTTGAAAAACGTTGCATTTCTTGAAATTTTCTAATCATCTCTAATATACGAAATGTTATTTTGCGCCACCCTAATGATTCTGGCACAATCTTGACATTTCGTTACAGGAAAGGAAGGAGAACGCGCCTAACTCACATTCGAAATTAAATAAAAGTGAAGTGAACTATGTTACGGTAACGACCGAGCACGTTGACTCAAGTGGTCACAGTTTTGACTTGTAGTCGCAAGGTCGAGGTATCGAATTTTTGACTGGGACACCTACTATCCTGACTAAAGTCTTTGATGTTGATCCACAGTCCCTATAGGCAAATGCCAGGTCTGCATTTAGAATGGGCCACGACCGGTTCCTTCCATGTCTCTTTTAACCCATCATTCCTCAATCATCCCATCATTCGATGCTGTATCGACCGATTCATACTTGGTTAAATAAAGCATAAATAACACCGTGGGTAGAGTAAGGTAAGGTAAAGCTAACTTTGTTCCTGTGCTTAACTGATTAAACATTATGTCATGAAGACGTATTGGAGAGTGGAGGTATAGCTCCACTATTCTTAATCTCGACACTAGATGAAGTTGGGTGGTCAGCATCACGCCCCGGCCGCTTTATCCCGAGGAAAGAGCCTCCGGTACCCATTGCACAGGAGGCTGGGTGGGCCCCAGAGCCGGTCTGGACGCTGTAATGAAGAGAAAAATCTCTTGCCCCCCACCGAGAATCGCACCCGGGCCGTCGAGACCGTAGCCAGTCGCTTCATCGATTGGGCTATCCCGGTTCCTACAGTGGGTTTAGTAGTGATGTAGAGCAGGCTTTTAAGGAGGGTCCAATGAGCCCCATGGCCTTCCAGTGTGACAGAAATTTTACATTGAAGTGACCTTGTGTAGAGCCGTGAACAGCGGACGTCCTACGCCGCTCTCCTTCCTGAGCTATAAATTATTTCGTTTCGAAACAGTCGCTTCCCGAAGAGGGCTGCATGTCACGGCTTGACATCTCGTCATGGAACGCCGTGTCGAGCCTCTTCTAAAATGTATCTGTGTTCTCTGCCTCAAAGTATGACATGCAACTCCATAGCTTCGCAACATACCGAAAACTAATTAAGCACCATGCCATGAAGACGTAAGGGGGAGTTGAAGTACAGCTCCACTATCCCTGACCTCGGCACTAGTTGGAAGTGAGTGGTCAGCTTCACGCCCCAGCCGCTTCAACCATGGGGAAACAGCCCCTAGTATCCATTGTGTAGGTGGCTAGGTTGTCCCACAGCCTGTCTGGACGCTGTAAAGTAGAGAGAATTCTCTTGCTCCTACCGGGAATTGAACCCCGGATGTCCAGCCCGTATCCCTTTCCTATACTGATTATCATGACTCAAAGCTTCACACAAATGTGTATTTTAACTAACTTTCCTTATTTTGAAAATACAAAAGAGAAACATAAGATGACCTTTCTGTCTGTGTGCCCGTGAGTTCATGCGTCCTTCCCTGAATAGTGCAGTCAGAACATTTTGCCGTTACAGTACCAACATATATGTGACATGCGACAGCGCAGTGCTAGGCAACGGATCGGTAAAACACGTTCCCGAGTCAACAAATACATATACAACAATAGAAGAATTGTTGGTCATGTCGTTTTCTATGCGGCCCGTGGCGCGTCGAAGGAAAGTAGGAAATTAGTTCTTCCCAGAACTTCAGAATTTCTCAGCACCTTGCTGGACGACAGAATGGCTGATGAAGCGGAATTGATTTTGAAAGAAAGGGGTCGTGTCCTAATCGAGTTTGTACCCCTGAAATTACTTGGGGAAACTGAATAAAACCAGGAATACCGTCAGTCAAGACAGCAGATGTCTCAGCAGGGACTCGAGCTAAGCTTATTGTGGTACTGGTTTCATAAATTCCACGAAACTTTTCCATCTAGGAAAGCTATGTTGGATATTGTTCACTGGTCCGTTTTTTTTATTATTATTATTATTGTTAGTGGGGTGGGACTAAGTCCCTTGTACTGCGGCCACTTCTGGCCTATTGTACCAGCCCCAGATGATAGGTGAGGGTGATTGTGGAGCAATTGGTGGAATGAAGATTGGCAGGGGAAACCGAAGTACTCGGAGAAAACCTGCCCCAGCTCAACTTTGTCCACCACAAATCCCACTTGACCAGACCCGGGACCGAACCCGGGCCGCCGTGGTGGGAAGCCAGCGACTAACCGCTTGAGCTATGGCACGGCCCACTGAGTCCGTTTATCGTGAGGTGTAACGGGGTAACGGTCCTACAGATCTGGGTCCGTTAGAATGACTGAGGCTCAATCTCTGAACTAGACCAGCTCTTTCTCAAGGTCAGCTGGATCCTTTCCCTCTTACACCTGATAAGGTTCGAACGGGGATCAAGTTTCCGGTAAAGACACGGGTAGGAAAGCTGATGAATCTACAGTGATGTAGCCGTTACCAGGCAGCGACTGGTGGTGCTGCTCTGCAACTAACTTTGCCGACAAGCGGCGGTCGCTCGGTCGGTATAGTTCGCTCGCGGACTAAAACCACGGAGTTTATTTTGCTCTGCAGTGATTTGTTAAGAGTGTAGATCCGGGAAACTATTATAGTTACCTGTAGCTATACATATATGTCCAATATATCCAACTACCAATTCAAACCCAATGTCTATTCACTAACAAGTGACAATATAATGAATCAACCCCTATCAAAACTATTTATAGAAGTGTAAGAAACGAATCATTCTGTTAAGTTTACCTAAATAATCAACTTCATCTCCACGTCATGAAAACTTTCTGTTCCGACTTTAAAATTCCGTCTGTTTCTTGGACGGATAATATCCCTTTTCCTCTTAGCGTATAGTGGAAGGCTTGTGGAATCTGAGGTTCTCGCGACGGTGAATATTAATATTATTGCTTTCTGAGATATGATGCCGTGTTGTTTTGTAGATAGGTACTAAAATATCACAATAAGGGGCCACGTTTCTGCCAAGAAGATGGAGGCAGTGGGCTTCCCCGAAGCATTAGTATCCATCTAAGGCTAGGAACACACACAGCGACATCGGTCGTACGACGTCCGTACGGTTCATGTCGCATCAAGTAGCAGAATATAAAGTGTAGTCTTAGCTCTCATACATGACGACATGCGACATCTACCGTACGGCAGTCGGAGAGCAAAGAAATGTATTTGGTCGCTCTAGTGTGAAAAGGAGGTCGTGCCGCAAAAAATCGTACCTTCACTTTTCCGTACGACCGATGTCGCTGTGTGTTCGAGCCCCAAGCAGTGAAGAAGAGGCAATGGTTCTATCCCATATACGGAACGGAATAAGCTGAGAAGCAGGTCCTCAGATAAATGCGGGGATTTACAGACCTAAACGAGAGAGGGGAAGGAAATGCGGTATCCACTAAACCTCCATTGAGGGTAGAGGTAAACGTAAAGCTGTCATGAAGGCGTATGGGGGAGTGGATGTACAGATCTACGTGTTCTTGACCTCGGCACAAGTTGGTGGTAAGTGGTTAGCTCCACGCCCCTGCTGATTTACCCGCTGGACAAGAGGCTGGTTGGGCCCCAGAAGTGGTCAGGACGACGTGGAGAAGAGAAAAATCTTGTACCTACCGGGACTCGAACTCTGGCCCCTCGGCCGCCCAGCTAGTTGCTATACTGAGGACTACCCAGACTCTAACCATTGCTAAATTAGAAATCAGAGAGTTGTCGAAATGTAGACAGATTGAAAACATAACTGCAAGAAGAATTGTTTTGAAGACAGAACTTTCTGGGGGGAAGACCTTGCAATGTAAACATAAACACATTGCAACATTGAGTTGTGGCGTTTACAACTGCTGGAGCGACTTCCGTCGTGCCCTTGACAAAGCCAGCGGGAACTGCTTTTCGGTATCATTATCTTTCCACTCAAAGTGTTTTCTCCAGGAAACTGAGTTCGACCGGTTTTGGAGGTCACTTAAGCATGAAACTCCAACAGCGAAATCCACGGACAAGAAGTGAAGTGAAGAATTCTACCTTCTGAGATATAACGCCGTTTAGTCCGTTGAAAGTAAACCGTCGTTTCAGGTGAATATGTCGCCTCCATCTTCAGGCAGAAGATAAGATTCTTCTTAACCACAGCTGTAAGAACCTCAAATCGTACATATGTGTGTGAAGATGTTTCCCGTCTTCTCCGATTAATGGAGAAATGTCATAATAATTATATTCGGGAAACCAGTGTTATGACGTTGGCAACACTGACTTTAAATCCGGCGCTAAGTTCACCATTGTCGCTGGCGCTCACGGTAAACAAAGGTACAAAAGGGGAAGGGGATGTAGCTCAGTGGTAGATCGCTCGCTTCGCATGTGAGAAGTTCCGGGTTCAATCCCCGGCATCTCCAGGTCATATTTTAATTTGAGGTAGTTATCAAATTTTCGCCCAACTAATTTAATCCCCATGTCATAATGGTTTTATGACTCCCCCCCCCCTTTTTTTTCGTTGGCACTATAGCCCCAGTGGGCCTAGGCCTACCTCCATGAACTTCTCCGTTCACTTCGGTTTTTCTAGATCTTACACATTCGGTAGGACTCCTTGGGCGGGTGATCAGCTCGCCGCAAGGCCTCTACCTGTATACAAACACAGAAAGACGCACACATACAAACTAAACATCCATGCCCTGAGTGG